CAAACCAAGAAGGACAAGTTCACGTCAGCTTTCTGATGGCTAAATCGCGAGTAGCGCCACTTAAACCGATCTCTGTACCAAGACTAGAATTAACGGCCGCAGTCGTTTCCGTYAACGTCGCATCTATGCTAAGAAAAGAGCTTGATGAAAWRGATGTTAAGTGCTTCTACTACACCGACTCSGAGATAGTCATCGGTTACATCAACAACGACGCACGTCGCTTCCACGTCTACGTTGGCAATCGAGTTCAACATATAAGAGATCGCAKCSAACCTTCAGACYGGTATCACGTGCCCGGCAAAGACAACCCAGCGGATGAAGCATCACGAGGTATGWCTGCCAAACAACTCTCAGAGAACAGTCGTTGGTTCAAAGGGCCGCAGTTTCTATGGCAACAAGACCCACAGTCAGTACACGCACAAGCCGACCACGCCCTGAGTCCATCAGATGTTGAAGTGCGAAGTCGCCCAATAACGACATTGGCTACTCAAACCAGCGMAATCACGTCYTATCCAAACGCTCTCGAGTCCACACRATTCAACCAATCCTCATCTCTGTCACGCCTCAAACGCAGCATCATACGCATCCAGAGAATGATWGAGAAGTTACGACCCAAYAAACAGTACAAYTGGCGACCAGTAGAAGGCCCACCTACTGTCAACGAACTGCTTCAAGCAGAAACCACTATTCTCAGAGCAGTGCAATACCAACACTTTCAAGCAGAAATCAACGCCTTGAAAGAGCTGAAAGGAAATGAAAGCAAATTCCTACAGAATCAGCATGYCCATTGCAGAAACTCCATGCTGAAACGTACAAGTAATCTATACAGATTGGACCCATTTCTCGACAAAGAAGGACTTGTACGCGTCGGAGGTCGACTAAGCAATTCAGCATCACCATATGAAATCAAACATCCGRTTATCCTGCCCAAGAACGATCACGTCACCGCACTTCTCGTACGTGAGTACCATCACGGGAAGCAGCATCAAGGAAGAGGGATAACCCTAAAYGCGATCAGACAAGCAGGAATACACATCATCGATGGACGTTCTGTCGTCTCTCATCAAATYGCCAAGTGCGTCACGTGCCGYAAACTGCGTGGACGCACACAACAGCAGAAGATGGCAGATCTTCCAAGCGAACGCCTAACGCCCGCACCACCCTTCACCTACACCGGGATGGATGTGTTTGGCCCATTCTACATCAAAGAGGGACGGAAGGAACTAAAGCGCTACGGCCTGATATTTACGTGTCTAGCCTCTCGCGCAGTTCACCTGGAAACACTTNTTAACTTTAACTTGTTAAAATCTGTGTTCTTGTAATTCAGGAATAATGATCAGATTACGAATGCCTTTCTGCATTGGATTACCAATTATTTATCATATYTTTTATATTGTATTTTCTGTTTGTTTGATTACTTTGTAATTATTAATTTCCTTTTAATCTATTAGGTCAAGAATGGTCTCATCAACAATCACATGTACAGAGACAACTACTGCTCTATATTTGTAGAGTGTGGTGTCTATTATTGATAGATTGCATTTAGTTTGTTTAGTGTTATAGTGGTTTTTATCACAATTGATATTTATAAATAAAGTTACTACTCAATATCTTTCAAATGGTTGTTTTTCAATAAGTTCTAGATATCCAAACTTAAACAAACATTCCTTACATAGATTTGTTGACAAGACCGGTGAATTATTTCTCATGTAACTCGCAACTGAACAAACTACAACGTATACAGAACACAGCAGCTAGATTAGTCACTAGGTCTAAAAAAAACGAACATATAACACCTGTTCTTCATAATTTACATTGGTTACCAGTTTCTAAGAGAATTAACTTTAAGATCTTATTAATTACTTTCAAAGCATTACATGGACAGGCTCCTAGTTACATTTGTGACTTAGTAGTTAAATATCAACCAGAAAGAACTCTAAGATCATCTAACTCTAATTTATTAGTTCTTCCTAAGTCTATGCCTAAGACATATGGAGACCGATCTTTTTCCGTAGCTGCTGCTAGGTTATGGAACTCATTACCATGCAACGTTAGGACTGCTAGTACGTTATGTTCGTTTAAATCAGCTCTTAAAACATATTTGTTTGTATATATCTTGATTTCCTTTTTGTTTCCTCCTGATTTTGATGATATTGTAAATATTTATTTATTGACTTTACTTTAGGATACCTMTGTAAGAGCATTGAGTTCTAATAATGCTCAGGAACTATTATTATTATTTATTATTATGTGTCTTATATTACTCATGGGAAGATATGGAATAATTAACACCTTGGGGATTCACTGGATTCTATTGCAATCTGGACAATAACACCATGCATAACCATTGAATAAGTTTCTCTGTTTAATTTATTAAGGTTAAAT